CGCCCCATGGGCCCAGTACATGTAATTGGAATGCAAACGAATTCGCATGTCGTGTGTTTCCGACATTTACTTACCATACGTCTGGGTGATGAGTCGGAATCAGGCATGGTAAGGCATCTGGGGCTTAGTCGAGTATATTAAGTTAGGCGTATAAAAGTTGACAAACCAATAAATATATATATATGTGTGTGTATGTGTGGTTCACACACACACACACTCAAGTACAAGTATTTAAGTTATATTTTGTGAACTTTGTCCGGCAAACATAAGCATTTCGAAGAAGTGACGGCTTTTCAATTTGCTCGCTCAACTACCGCTCGTACTTGGTGGTTTTGTGATTTGAACCGCTTACGGTGGGATGTTTTGCCTTAATAGCCTCTCCACATAACCAACGACACGTGCAAATCAAAGTCAGTGTGGCGTGGCAGGAAACAGGAGCCGAAGGGAATGGGGATTCGGGGGGCGCAATGATGGTGTAACCGAAAATGAAAACTTGTTGGCACATGACAAAATTGGGCAACATTTGTGGCGTAACATTTGCAAAACTGTTGAAAAGTTATACACCAAATTTCATAGCCCACATTGCCAAGTCATTAATATTCACACACATACACACACACACACACACACACAACCATACACCCATGTGTGGGTTTTGATAGTGCCTTCTGGCATGTTGTGGAAGTTGTTTGCCTTTATTTCGACAGTTCAATGTGGTGAGCCCTCAAATAATATTTAATTAGAGAATTGTTTAGACGAACTTTTTAATTACATTCGCGCAGCTTCATCCTTCCGTTGTGAGGTCCCCAACCCACCTATATGTGTGTGTGTGTGAGTTATGGGGCGACCCGCATAAATCTGCAACTGGGCTTGAATTTAGTTTTCGACCGGAGCGTCTCTCGAATTTTGTTCGTAAAAAATGCACGCACGAGTGACTCCGTCTCCTCTAGCTCTCCACTCTGCTCCTCATCCTCATCGTCCTCCTCCTCCTCCTCCACGGTCATTGCTGGTGCCCTTGTCACTCAGGCAGCCATTTTGACGCGTTTTGCCTGCGCCTTTTGGACAACTTTCGCATTTTGCTCATAAAATGCTGAGCTATGTTGGCAGCGTGTGGTACACGGAGACAAACGCGGAGCGGGAGGGGAACAGGAGAACAGGCTGTGAGTGGCCGTCAGCTGCATAAATTTTAAGCGACGGCAACATTAAAGTCAACATTTTGCCAGTGGCCTACTTTCTGCACTGGAGAAAGTGACTCGCTGGCGCCATTGCCAACGTCATCGTTGCTCCTCTCTTTGCTGAATATTACTGTGGATGCGGCCGCCTACCATGTGCCACGCCCACTCTATATGATGGCTGAAGTGCGCTTTTAGCATTACTGCCACCGTCTTTCACTTTCGCTGACATTTTGCAGCGCTGCAGACAGCAGGACACACATGGCTGTATACAAGCACACCAACACAAATGCACATACATACATACATAGGTATATACATACATACATAAAATGTGTGTGCTGTGTGCCACTATGGCTTGAAAACTGACTATTGTTGCTTTGAACTGGTTACTCCAATTCTGTCGTTTTTTAAGAAATGTTTTCAATTAATTGCATTGTTTTATTTGAATAAAATAATTTATCTTATAGTATTTATTTGCAATTAAATTATATACAATACTTGTATATGCTTTCGAAAAGCAAGAACTTTCAGTTTTAAATGAGAATGTATTAACTACTGGAACGTGTCTACAATAAAATTTTGGAAAATAATTAATTCATTGTAATAAAAATAATAGAAATAATAAAAATAATGTAAATCTAATTTTCATGATCATTATAAATTAATTAAAATGTCAAATATTTATAATTTGTACCACAATGGAACAGAAATTAGATCAAGAATAAAGCTTTTGGGGACTTCATGAAAATACTTGTAATATAAACAATTTATTGTGATAAAAATAATAAAAATAATGTAATTCTAATTTTCATTATCATTATACATTAATTAAAATGTCAGAAATATTTATAATTTGTACCACAATGGATGAGAAATTCGATCAAGAAATTTTATTAGAATGTATCAAATATATTACAACTGATTACTATAAATAAAATAAGTTATTTATGATCAATATAAATTAATTATAATGTCAGAAATATTTATAATTTGTACCATAATGGATGAGAAATTCGATCAAGAAATTTTATTAGAATGTATCAAAATATATTACAACTTTTTACTATAAATAAAATAAAATTATTGGTTAGATTAGCTAAGGTGCAGAATGCTGAGTGCTGTGCCTTAGAGATCCATTAGTCTGCTTTTAACCTCCCAGTATTCCTTATTTTTCTTTTTATTTTTATTTATTTAGTAAATCAACAAATATAAGCTTTGCTCTTTAGACAATACTGAATTTTGGTATCTCCATGGGATCGTTTAGAAGGTATGATCCTCGACCAATATACCTCCGCCTGCTCAGTGCCGCACCTCTATAGTTTCTGCAGAATTCATTGAATGAGATGCCAAGTCTGTCTACCGGACAGTGGTTTATAGGTGGCAGCTTCAATCGTATTTAGTTCTACAAGCTTAGTCTTTCTTTTGGTTGGCCAGACCAGCCTTGTTCTATTACACCAATTAGTACTTTCCTTTACCGTTTTAATTTTCCCTTGAAATTTGCAGGAGAGCTTTTAGCTTAGCTTGGAATTATGTTGCGCTTCTCACATACTTAGATGAGAGATTAAAGTTACACAAAGTACGGCACTAGTTCTAGTTGCCGCTGGGGCGTGTGTGTCTGTATGAGTGCGAGTGTGTGTCCGTGTGTGTGTGTGTGCTTGCGTGTGCGTGTTTATGCAGATGAGTTGCTGGCAACGTGTGGAAATTTATGAAGATAAATTTCTGTTTGTCTTTTTCGTCACATAAAAAGTGAGCGTAGAAAGCGACAGTCGAGTCGACTGGCATGCCACTTGGCAGCAGCTGCTGTCGACAACACAAATGCCGTGAGAAATTATCCGTAGTCGTAAATCTAACTAAATACCTACGCACATACATATGTATATGCGTACCAAGCCTATAAAACTACTTATTAGGAGCTGAGGTCAAATGGTTCATATGAAACGAGTGTTTAGCTCCTAAATAGTTGACAGCTTTGCATCACAAATAACTATAAAATGAATAACTTATGCTTTTTTGGGGAGAGAAATAAAGCTCTATTTACTTGCATGAGCACAGTAATTTATTTATGTTTCTAATCAGTTTTTATTTTATAAGTTTAAAAATATTTGATGTAATCAACACTTATTTAAATCAGGCAAACTAATGGCGTTATTAAATGTTGTTTTATTTTATTTATATTATTATTTGAGCTTACAAATTTGGTTCATTCACCATACATATTTATGAATGTAGGGCAATGGTGGTAATTAAAATAAATATGTTAATTTAATATGTTATAATTATGTTTTAATTTAAGTGAGCTCAGTGCATTTTGCAAGTAAAATTTAACATGACAACGTAAGAAAGATACATACCAGTAAGAAATACATAAAGGATATATATTTTAAAGAAATAGTATGAATAGAAATAAGATTTTTTTAAATGAAATACATGATTAAAATATAGCACAGTAAAGTAGAAAAACTGAATACCATAATCTTAAATCTCATAGAAATCGATGGGCTAATCGTTAAATAATAATTCATTTTTTAAACTGTCCGTAAAGGTAAATAAATTATGGAAGACGAGAAATTTAGAATCTCTGAACCAACAGAGTTTGATTTTTTAAAATTTTCTTTGAATAAAATGCGAAATGATGATTAAAAAATAATTAATTAAATAAAAATTTGAATGGAATTAATCAAGACTCGCCATATAAAGTTTGTCTGTAAGGAAGTCTTGTATAGCAGCTATAATTTCCATTTGCCCACCAACTTTCAAAAAAAACCTAACTCTCCTTTTAAGAACTCTCCTTTGAGGAAATCATTTAAACAATCACATATAAATAGGCAAACTTATCTGATTTAATCGCAATGAACAGAAGAGTGATGGCCACATTGTATTTGATTTCAAGAGCTCAATTGAAATCCGAAACAAGCGCAAACTTATTCGAACACAAATTGCAATGAGCCGAGTCCACAGACGGCTGGGTTCATAATGAGGCTTCTTAGAATGAAAATGGAGCAACTTGAGATAATTAATTGAACGCAAGCTAAACACGAAAACGCTGCTTGAAGAGCATAGGCAAAAACCAATTATCTACACTAACAACAACAAAGCACAGCAATACACACACACACACACACACACTCACATATGATATTACTGACCACACTCCAATGTAAACAGATGGAATCGCAGAAAGAATGAGTGGGCGATGGAGAAAGGTCCTTAGTAAATCACTTGGCATTTAGCAGTCTAAAATAAATCGATTCCCTATTAACGCAACATTAAAACCTTTATTGCCTTTTGTTCAATTTCAGATAAATGCGCTGCCCAAACAAACCGAATGGGAAAATAAAAGAGCAACTCGAAACTCGCTGAACTGGCAGACGTTGTTATTTTAGCTGCCCAAGGCAGACCGACCAGGCACAGTGTGGAAACATTGACACCATAAATAAGTAGCAAAGGGGATAACGCGAGCAAATAGCCAAAGGTTATTTATAAGTAAGCCTCGACAACATATATTAACATAAAAAGCATTAAACAAGAACATAAAAAGAGAGGCCGAGACGAGCCCTACAAACAAATGCATAATAAATTCGAATGAAAAACTAAAATAAACAATAAATAAATAAACGAAAAGTATGCAAAAATTATGAGTTGCCTCATTGAACAGTTGCTCAGACAAACAAACATATATATATATATATATATATATTTATATATACTCACGATAGATTTGGTTTGAGGCAACGCACCAACTGTGAAAAGTTTACGCGATAAAATTGGCAATAAAAAGCAACGCCGTCCTTTGGAGAAAACAAAGCAGAAATACGAAGAAAAAAACGCCGATTACAACGAAACACCAGCGATATAAAACTTTTATTTGACAAAGTGTCATAAGGACCGCGTGACGCCGTCGACGCAGACGCCATTTCGCAAAAATATTTCAAGCGAAAGTAAAATTGTTTACTGTGCATAAACGAATAAGCCGTCGTCGTCGCGCAACTCAACGAAAGCGAGAATCCTCAGCGTCAGGCTGTGCGTTGCTCATACGCACTGTGTGCCGCCGGAATTGTGCACTTTCAGCTATTTGGGCAAAAACAATATGAAAAGGTGTTGACTGTGTGTGTGCTCTGCACATTCAAGTGAAAGTGCCACAGTTTGCAGTATTTCTGCCTAAGTGAACATTTTCCTCCAAAAAATTGCACACGAACAACGAAAACAACAACAACAACAACAGCAGCAGCAAGAAAAACAGGAAGTGCAAAGACACCAAAACCAACAGCACAGCATGCGCTTGTGGAAGAATCGAACCAAAATGCGAATTGCCAAAATGGGCATCACGCTCCCAGCGAGCGCCATGTGCTCACAAATGATGACACAATTCATCCTTTTTGCCGTTTTCTACATAACAATCGGTAAGTTCGACGACAGATCTGTGGCTAAAAGCATTGTCAAATAAGATGTTTATTACAAATACGACAACAGAACTATATAGTTTGCGAATGGAAAAAAAAAAGTGTTTATATTGTTGGCATAATATAGCGGACTAGGTGTGAGTGGCAATCAAAACAGATTCATTTTCTATACAGCCTGCTTTTAATTAAATAGAGTAATAGAGCAAGCTGCCATTTTTTAATATTTTAAAATGATTAACTTTGTTTACTTATATGAGCAATTGTGAGAATACGCTATATCTGTTCGAAATACATTGTTCTTCAGTCAGCATAAAAAGAACTATAGTTTTGTTTAATGAAGTAACCATTTAACCATTTCTTTGAAGCCTGCTCTTAAATAAATACAAGTAGAACAATAGAGCAAGCAGCCATTTTTTAATATTTTTAAAATGATTAACTCTGTTTACTTATATGAATAATTTAGAGAATACGCTATTAGAGGTATTTCTGTTCGCAATACATTGTTCTTCAGTCCATATAAACTGAATTAAATAAAGTAGGTAGGTAGTTATAAAATTAAATTAATGAGGTAATAGCAAACAATATTTCTGGGTAATCCACTAGAAATTAATTCAATGTCCGGTTTAGTTTTTATATTGTCGCTATTTGTCTGATTTAAAACTATTAGTTATTAAATTTCATAACTTTCTCAGTGGATGAGTCATGCATCGTATTATTATTTTTCCAATCATTTCCAATCATGTATTTAATATACAGTAGTATCATTTAAATGTTAATGAGAATAATACATTTTTAAGCAGTTGAACAAAGTCTATTTGTTTTTCGAATAGATTATTTTATACAATAAAGCAATTGTGATAATTAATATGCTCCCTTAACTATTTGTCGGATTTAAGACTATTATTTATTAAATTTCATAACTTTCTCAATGGATGCGTCATGCATCGTAATTATTCCCCAACTTTCCATCCAGCTCTTCAGATATTTTTATTATATAGTAGTTTCATTTAAATGTTAATGAGAACAATAAATTGTTAAGCAGTTGAACAAAGTTCTGTTTTTCGAATAGACTGGTTTATATAATAAAAAAATTCTGATCAAGTTTAAAAAAATGTAGGACATAAAAAAGGGATGTTGGTAATATTTCTTCCTTAAGGCCAAACGGCCATACTTTTAATTAATATAGTCAAGCATTACTTTTGAGCTTTTCGTCAAGACTTAAGTTAAAAATTTAATAAATTTGTCGAAGAGGTTTTCAAAATTTATTTAAAATTAAGATTAAACAGTTCTTAAACTTTCTTAATCCAATTTCACTTAAAAATGATTAAATATACAAGTACATACATGTCTATATTTCATTTCATAATTTTTGCTAAAAAAAAGTAGTCATAGTAAAAATATGAATTTTCTTCCGAAAGCGTTGCTCGAACTAATCGATTATATACAAGCACTCGGCTTATATTATGTGGCCTTCTCGTAAATCGGATTTTTACTACTCAGCATGTCCTTTTTAGCCCTTTTAAGTAAAACACTGTTGCATAAGACTTGTTAAGAGTTGTTGTGCGCTGTTACCAGAACTCAGGTGCTTAATTTATTCATGGAACTTTGTGTAATTGATGCATAATAAATTATTTCCTATAGTCAAGGACGATTTCGATGTATGCCATCGATTATTAGAGTAAACGGCCTACAAGTCTTTAGTCAAGTCGGGAAGGCAATGTCAATGCTGTGTATGTGAGTGTGTCCGTGTGTGTGTTTGCTAGGGCTTTGAGGGTGTACTACAAGTCATAAAAGTGCATGACACTTGCCCTCAAGTTGCAACGAAACCAAAGGCAGCCCACACGCCGGCACAAGTGCATGAAAAATGAATTGATGGTTGCTGCCTGTTTGGCTGATGGGAGGCAAGTGGGACCTCAGCCTGAGCCTCGAACCAGGGCGTCAGTCGTTGCCATTGCCATCATTGATGCACAATTTGTCGCACTCACACAAATGCACACACACAGACACACACACACACACAGACGAAGGCATATATGGAATTGTGAATGGCGCAATTTACAAATTTACGATTGTTAGTGTCGCTCTTCAGCTGCTGCAGCCTCGACAACAATTATAATCGCTTCGCATATGGTGTGTGTGTGCATTTTCGTGTTAATTGCTCTGACAAAAACAAAAATCAGGCCAATAACAACAACAACAACAACTACAATGCCAGTAGCAGAAGCAGCTGCCGTTGCAGTGGCAGTGGCAGCAGTTGACTGAATAAAGTGGTTTGTTAACACGTATACGTCCAGTGTGCCCAACCCCACAAGCGATTTGTTTCAATTGTTAAATTTGTCGAAAGTGCACTCGATGTCAAAACAGTTCACTCAGTTAACCCTCACATCCCTATTTGCCGTTTCGGCCCCTTCATCAGCCAATTTGTGTGTGAATATTTTATGACTTTGAATTAAATTTTCTCCAACCATTTAAATTGACTACAGTTGGGCAAAGTCGACTGTGTCCGTCATTTCGCTGTATTCGTCAGCTGGTCCTGCACAGCCAGGACAAACTCTGACACGCAAATTGCATTACCATTGGCGAATGAATACAATTGATGTCTGGCCACCTGCGTCCGACAACGATGGCAACGAAGGACACTGGCTCCTGACGGGAACGAGACGCCCAGCATATTTAAATTGCAAAACAAGTGCAGCACAGCGCTGTTGAGAAAATATGAGAGCCCTGCACCGTATTAAAAACCAATTTTGTCGGCTTGCCCAAGAATCTCGTACATCAGCATATTAAGTTGAAAGTTAATATTGAAGCTTGGTATTGGGAAATTTACGATTAAATTTCTCAGATTTCCTTTCTGAATTAATTGTAAAAATAAAGAAAATATTTATCTTTGATTGAAACTTGCTTCTTGCTTGATTTGTTAAAATTTATTTCCTAGAATCTATGACTTACTTTCTTCAGAAACTGGTCTTAACTGGATTAGGTAATTTATATTTCATTTAGCAAATATACGCTAATTTTTTTTTTATCAAAAATTGGCATTGTCTGAAGGGTACTTTTTATCTCAGTATTTATTTTGTTCACAAATTTTATTTTCAACGGAGCAATTTTTATTTGTCTTATAAACGTAATTGATCTTAACTGTAATATAAAAGAAACCCTGTAATCGATTCAGACTCCATGACTTTATTTTAAAAGTTAACAGCTCTACAATTTTATTTATTTATTTAGTTAATTAGATGCTAGTTTAGATGAAGCAGGACGCAAACAATTCCCGTTACGAATACACTTTAGATATCTGAGAACTTGTTATACATAGCAGCTGCTAATTAATAAATATGACAGATGAAATCATTTTAAATTGTCTGAATTAATTAATCTAATTAACTGACGATCTAAATGTTGGCAAACAGCCCAAGTTTTAAGATTTGTAATCTTTAATATTTGACTTTTGCTTTGCAGCTATTCTACTCTACCAATTTAAGTTTATATGTGCTTTATACAAGTATTTGCACTTTTTTTTGGTTTTATGCATATTGTGGCAGAAGCTGCAATCGCATCAATTCGCATGCCATGGTAATCGCATTACGAGTAATGCCAAAACCGCTCCGAAACTAAAGTTGTAAGCCATACATGCACGAAAGGCTTATAAAAAAGTTTGCTCGAAACCAACCATCCAGCCAACCAACCAGCCAAGCAACCAACCCAGTCGTGGAATTAAAATAGAATTTTGTTTATGATTTTGCCTCTTTGCTGTAATAAGACGCTATTAGCGTACTTTTTTCTATTGCTCCAGCTGCCGTTACTGCGGAAAATGGACTTTAAAAGAGCGTAAGTGGAAGAAAAGGAAAAATGTAAAAGCAAACATGAAAACATAATTCATGAGCCCAAGGCAGCGCGAGCGTCGGTAAATGTTGAATTGTAAATTATCTGGCAGGTGGTGGGTGTGGTCGAGAGAAAGGCAATAGGCAAATACTCGTACAGCTGGCGACGCAAATGAGCATACAAAGATTTTGAAATTCATATAAAGGGGAGAGGTATGAAGGCGCAAAACACTGGGCGTTGAAAGAAATATGTACGTACGAGTTTGGTGATGCAAGTGAAGCCATTAAGAATTCTGTTGAATTTTATGTACATCTTGGGAATTTCTAAAGTAAAACTTTGCCATACATACATGCTCCAACCTGCAACCTCCAACATTTTTAAAGAACCCTACACATGGCACCAGATATGGAGAGGAGCAGGCACTCGTGTCTGATTGTTGGAAAATTTTTAAAGGTTTTTAACTCAGAATTTTTTTTAAGCTTCCTGCTGAGATAGAACTGCAAAAATAAATCAGATGGAGCTATAAATTAATGTACGGCTATAATCTATATAAGTTAAAGCTGAGATAAATGCTGTATGATGATGTATGCCGACGATGTAAAAATTTGTTTGCCGTACTCTGACCTATCATCTCATCTGAATCTTCAAGCTGACTTAAATGAAGTGCATTTATGGTGTTCTATTAACTCTCTGTCGCTTAACCTTGCCAAATGCCACACTATGACCTTCCACCGCCGTGATGCCCATTTTGTTTCCTATACTCTTGGGAATTCTTCTTTAAATCGAATATTCACAGTTAATGATCTTGGTGTACTTTTCGATAATAAATTATGTTTTAATAGCCATATTTCAGTTATTGTTACGAAAGCAAGAGGACTTCTTGCTTTTATAAAAGGTTGGTCGAAAGAGTTTGACGATCTGTACACTACGAAGTCATTGTACATATCCTTAGTTTGCCCTATCTTGGAATATTGCTCTACAATGAACAACAAATGTTAATTGAATCTGTCCAAAAACAATTCTTACTGTTTGCTCTTCGGAGTCCAAATTGGGACCCGCACAGCCGATTGCCTCCTTATAGATCCAGGTTAAAGCTAATAGACTTACCATCGTTACATCACCGTAGAATTTGTTCAGGAGTAACCCTCCTTCACAAACTTCTTTCTGGTAATATAGAT